AGCTGCTGCTGCAAGATGCTGTGGTAGCCATGTTGGTTCAGATGCTGTGGTAGCCATGTTGGTTCAGATGCTGTGGTAGCCATGTTGGTTCAGATGCTGTGGTAGCCATGTTGGTTCAGATGATGTGGTAGCCATGTTGGTTCAGATGATGTGGTAGCCATGTTGGTTCAGTATGTCTTCAGTTTTGAATAAATCCCCAACAGTCACCAGCAAAGCACCATCACACCTCCTCCTCCATGCTTCACAGTGGGAACCAGACATGTAGAGTCCATTTGTTCACCTTTTGTGTGTCACAAAGACAGTGGTTGGAACCAAAGATCTCTAATTTGGACTCATCAGACCAAAGCACAGATTACCACTGGTCTAATGTCCACTGGTCTAATGTCCACTGGTCTGATGTCCACTGGTCTGATGTCCACTGGTCTAATGTCCACTGGTCTAATGTCCACTGGTCTAATGTCCATTCCTTGTGTTCTTTAACCCAAACAAGTCTCTTCTGCTTGTTCCTGTCCTTAGCAGTGGTTTCACACAGTCTCCTCTGAACAATTGTTCTAGAGATGTGTCTGCTGCTGGAACCCTGTGTGGATTGACCTGTTCTCTAATCTGAGCTGCTGTTAATCTGTCATTTCTGATGACCTGTTCTCTAATCTGAGCTGCTAACCTGTCATTTCTGAGGCTGGTGACTTGGATTAATTTATCGTCTGCAGCAGAGGTGACTCTTGGTCTTCCTGTCCTGGGGCGGTCCTCATGTAATCCAGTTTCTTTGTAGCACTTGATGGTTTTTGCGACTGCACTTGGGGACACTTTAAAAATTTTCCCAGTTTTTCAGACTGACTGACCTTCATTTCTTAAAGTAATGATGACCACTTGTTTTTCTTTACTTAGCTGCTGTTTTCTTGCCATAAAACAGATTCTAACAGTATATTCAGTAGGACTATCAGCTGTGTGCTGTATCCACCTTCTGCACAACACAACTGATGGTCCCAACCCCATTTATAAGGAAAGAAATCCCATTTATTAAACCAGAAAGGGCACACCTGTGAAGTGAAACCATTTCAGGTGACTACCTCTTGAAGCTCATCAAGAGAATATCAAGAGTGTGTGAAGCAGTAATCAAAGCTAAAGGTTTTACTTTGAACAACCTAGAAAATAAAACATATTTTCAGTTGTTTCACACTTTTTGTTCAGTATATAATGCCACATGTGTTCATTCATAGTTTTGATGCCTTCAGTGTCAATCTACAATTTTTATAGTCATGAAAATAAAGAAAACTCCTTGAATGAGAAGCTGTGTCCAAACTTTTGCCCTGTACTGTGTGTGTGTGTGTGTGTGTGTGTGTGTGTGTGTGTGTGTGTGTGTGTGTG